AAAACACTTTTGAACTTCGTTCCCAGTAATACATCGACCTAGCGTCAATCAAAATAATATCAGTCATTTTGAGTGATAAATCCACGCATAGGAGCATCACTCCATTTTAACCTCGTCTAGAGGTTTTTCATCTGATATCACTACTTTTGTAAGGCTTTTTTTGGGAAAATACATTTTTACCAGGAGTATGTCTATTTTAAGGTCTTATTATCAGGAAATTGCAATTTTCTGGGTAACACATTTGCATTCTAATTTCACAAGTTCTGGAGATTGCACTATCTAATTTCCACTACCATTGAAAAAGTCCCAATTTCCTCTAATTGCACATTATAAAATGCGGTAAAATATGATTAACACTATGACTGTTCTTCATATTTGCAACATATTACTGTTCTTGGGGGACTCCAGGGCCCCCAAGATACTTCATATGAAATCTGGACTGTGATGACAGGTAATAAATTAGTGTCTGAAGCAAAGTTGTAATACTCAAAGTTTGCTATAATTTTGGTGCGACAAATATTGCTTATCTCTTATCAGTTTCGCGAAAAATGATTATCAAAAACTCGCGTTTTTCGCGTTTTTCGCGTTTTTTCGCGTAACTGATAAGAGATAACGACTTGATGTCTGTGGTGAAGTTGTAGTACTCAAGCTGCTCTACAACTTTGCCGAAGTTACCAAGTCGTTATCTTTTATCAGTTTCGCGGAATACGCGAGAAACCGCAGAAAACCGCGAAAAAACCCGTTTTTTTCCTTATCATTTTTCACGGAACTGATAAGAGATAACGAGATGGTGTCTAAGGCAAAGTTGTAGTTCTGGTTGAGTACTACAATTATTTCGATTCATTATTTCGTTATCTCTTATCAGTTCCGTGAAAAAACGATAAGGAAAAAAACGCGTTTTTTCGCGTTTTTTTCGGTTTCTCGCGTAATTGATAAGAAATAACGGAATAATGAATCAGAATAATTGTAGTACTCGACCAGAACTACAACTTTGCCTCAGACACCATCTCGTTATCTCCTATCAGTTCCGTGAAAAATGATAAGGAAAAAAACGGGTTTTTTCGCGGTTTTCTGCGGTTTCTTGCGTATTCCGCGAAACTTCGGCAAAGTTGTAGAACAGCTTGAGTTCTACAACTTCGTCATAGACATTAAGTCGATATCTCTTATCATAGTCCAGTTATAATATAAAATAGCCATGGGGCCCTGTGGTCCCCCAAGAACAACAGCGTAACATGTTTTGCGGCAGGCTGTATTTTACACATACTCACACATATGCATATGTGTATATGTCATTCGTGTAGAGAAATGTTCAATCTATACAATGAGACTTAACTCCGGTTGGTTTATACACTGTTTAGTACTTTTATTCAACTTTAAAGTTCGCTGGGGGCCCTGGGTGCCCCAAGAACAATCATAGTGTTAAATTTCAAAATACCCGTAAAAAGAGTGTTGAAACGATTGTGGATTCTCATTATTTCATTAAAAAATATTAGTTCCCAACCATCAAAGCTCTGGAAAGTGCATTTTTTATGTACCCCCCGAGCAAAAGTTCAATTTCATACATTCAGATGCCAAAATGCCGATTTATGACCAAAATGACAACGAAATGGATATTCAAGTGTTAATGGAATCCCATTATTTTCACACAAAAAAAGCAGTTTTACAAGACCAAAATGTCGTCAGAGGTCTATTTCACTTGTTTTCCGAACAAAAATGTCATTTTCAGTGAAAATAGAGCAAGTTGAAAAATTTACTTCGAACCGACCTATTTTTCGACCATGAAATGCCCTCAGATCGCATTGTGACCACTTTTAATCAATTTCTCGTCGACAATTGAGCGGATATGGTCTTTCGTGAGCCTTTTTCAGCCAGTAGATGCGTATTTTTGACAGCAATTTCATCGTAGAATGCGACTCTTCGTACAAATTCCGTTCATTGATGAATTGCCTATGCCCAGAACTTCGAAATACAAATTTTCCCGGATATGTGGCATATGCCATTTTGTTGGTATGGTAGCCGGCTACAAACGCTCAGTTTTTGGTAAAAGATTGTTAGGCTGATTTTTGAGAAATCGCGTTTGGTGTGAAATTTAAGGAGGGTCGATTTTTCATAAAAATCGACTTTTTTCTTTTATATCACATAAACATTGGCATGTATGTATGGAAATTTTTGAAGGTCTTCTCAAATAATTACGAGCTGACTTTGCCCGATGGGTGTCTGAGTTGATCTAGTATGCGAAATAAATACTTGACAAAATCGTATACATGCAGGCTAGCGAAGCCATAGCCAGCTCTCCTGTAATGCAAATGTCAATCTGAGGACACTAGTGCCCCGACACTATCTACAACTAAGGCATATGCGCTACGGAAACCGAAGAAGGTACGGACAGACGGACGAACGAACTGACGCAAATCCAAATCAATACTTTCATAGAAAGTCAAGATCAAATTGCCAATGCCCATAACTTTTTCGTTTTTAGATCAATCGGGGCACTTAGACCGGCGTTGGAAAGGTGGCAAGGAGGAGCTTCTCTTAGACACCTCAGACCACCCCATGGGTACCCCCTTCGTAAGATATGGGTATAGATTCGAAAATTTATCGAAATTTTCCAACCGCTATATTTTTGCCTAGACCACACTTTAGGCATGGAAGATATGGTGTTTCCGACTATTTGGGCCAAGACATTTCCAACGGTACCTAACATGCCGGGGCCCAAATAGTGCCCTGAGAAAATAGCATACTTACTGTATATATACTCGTGCAGCAAAAACTGGCATTTTTGATATTTGGCTTGAAATGCACAGTCTATGGTGCGTCACTTGTCGGACTACCGTCCTCCGTGATAAGATAATCTTATTAAAATATTAATGAGAAAATCGGATTTTATTAACCAATTTTCAAAAAAAATTGCGAAGAAAAGTTTCATACTAAAAACATTTCAAAAATCGTCAGATGCATCTTTTTCTTCAATATTTCGTCGTTTGAGGATATTTGATATATTTTTAGTATGAAACTTTTCTTCGCAATTTTTTTTTTGAAAATTGGTTAATAAAATCCGATTTTCTTATTAATATTTTAATAAGATTATCTTATTAATAATAAGATGGATCATTAACTTTTTAATAAAATGGAGATCTTATTAATAATAAGATAATATGTTAATAATAAATATAGTAGAATCTTATTAATCTAATAATATGTTATGTTTGAGTTATTAGAAATTTTCCGATATTTTGGTAATTAACATATTAATAACATATCGAAAATGTAAATCTATACATGAAACCACATGTTTGCCGTGTATGCGGTGGTATATTTATCGTGTTTGATCTAGGAGGATATTCCTAAAAAGGTAGGGGAGAGGGGGCTATTCGGATTGGGGGTAAACCGGATCGCTCGGCATATATCCAAAACGGTACAAACACCATGACACGTAGAGCTGACATTAAATGTGTTGTTATGTGCCACATATTTGGCGACCTACATGATTATTAGTTGTCCTAAATTCAGTGGGCGGTGTGCTGCAAATCGGTTAAGTTGTGTTTTGAACTCTGTTGCCAAAATATTTTGTCGTCACAAAATAGCATGTTGCAAAAGTGCCTCACTGTCATTTTGTATGAAAATTCTACAAAACGATTTGAGCGCTGTTCGTATGATTACATGACGGCTTTCATTTGAACTAATGTGAGGTACATTTCAAAAGTAAATTGCAACATGCTATTTCGAATTTTGTTTTGCCTTTGTAAAACACCTATTCGTATCAAAACTGTAGTGAAGAAGTTTCAATCAAACTGTTGAAATATCAGAAAATAAACTCCAATTCCTAGAAACACTGTTTTGGTGAGCATTCCCATACTAAACACGCGACAAAATGTGGGTGATCTGAATAACACCCACATGTACCGAATAGCCCCCATGTGAAGTCGTTCAAACATAGGCTCATACCTCACTACCAGGATACCCAATACAAAAAGTTTATTTGTATTAAAGATAGCTTAGGAGAATAGCTTTCCAACCATATATAAAATGTGGCAATTCTTGGTCATTTTCAGACGATATGGCTGATTTTCAAAAAGTGATCCGAATAGCCCCCTTCTCCCCTAAATATTTCTGATTAAAAGCATCCCTTCAATTATGATTTAAATTCTTGTAAAATTATCTACAGGATTCGTGAAAAAAGACTCAACTCTTGGCGTTAAAGTGTCCGGATGGTTTTTGAATGGACTAAATATAAGTGTTTTGATCAAGTTTATTTAATCTTAAGTAATGAAACTCAAAGTACTACAGCTTCTACACGGTTAAGCGAAATACAGCTCAAAATTAGGCACATCAAGCAAAATGGTCAACATGCTATCACTCTGTGTGGTATGTGGGATGGCACTCTTAACTGGATCAATTGGTCCAAATTATCTATTGCTGCCTTTTTATGTTCCGTACTTCATGTATATAATGACAAGATTCGTCACGTTACACGACAAGGCAGATAGTATGGTGATTTAAATATGAGATGGTTGACATTTTCCGAAAAATCTATCTTTTAAATCCTGATGACAAGATTGAGTAGAGTTATTGTGGCCACCGCAACAAAGTATAAAAAAACATTCGATTATTTTCCAAAAAAAAGACGTACACATTTGTACTGATGTCAACCAGCAACGGATAACCATTTAAAGCAAGAGAAGTAAAGCGTTGAAAGCGCCAAATTTGAGTTGAGCAAAACTGAACAAAAAATGTCGTAAAATTTGGACATCTCATCGGCAATTAAATTTAACAGTTGGATATTTCAATGATTTTGTGTTTTGCTTTGCAGCTAAAAGAAAAAAGCATAAAAATCACGATATTTCTTTCGATTTCAGAAAGACCAAATGGTCTCCCAATTAAATATGTATTTGTGTTCACTTCTGTATTTTATTTTGTTATTCTTTTAACATTCATCGTTCGGAAAAAATCGATAAACTCGTGTATGTATAGGTAAGTATCCATAAAAAGCTGAGCATGTGAGCGTGTGGATAGAACTCTCTTTGATGCGTGACTTTTTTTCGGCTAATTTTTTTCAATACTAAGGGAGGAGAAGTGAAATGAAAAAAAAGTAGCTTAAGCCCCAATGTATGAAGAATGTAAAGTTATATGTCTCGACACGACACGACAAATACATACGGCGGCACTCATGCATTTGAGAAGTTAAGGTTGGAGAAAAACGCGAACCAACACTCAAAACGAAAAACCAACACAAATATGTATATATACTATCCCCTTCTTGAAGAAATCGTAATCAGATAAAGTCGTGGTGTTTTAGAAGGATTGTTTCGACTGTCCTCACGCCATCCATACAGAAATAGAGTGGTTAAAATACATTATCACTGTTCTGAGGGTATGTTTGGCAGTTAGGATGACGCCAAATTTATTGTTTTTTTATACAAATGAAAACGATTCCATCCAATATTGATAGGTACATAAGTACGTTTCGAATACGTCGAAGAATTGAAGCAAAACTTTTGACACTTCTAAAAGCCCTACTTTTGAGAATATATAATAATGTGGTTTCATAGTAACAGAAAGCCATCGGAAAGCCGTTGCACACCAATTGAATATTTCCACAAAAAAAGTTACTCAATGAAAAGATTTGCTCAATAATTTTCATTTAGTAGGTGTCTTCTTTGCAGAAATGTGGAGCTAGTTAGGTAATAATTCAAGGAAAAATTCGTATGTTCATAGAATTTGTATTGTATGTAGCGCATTATTCCTATTGCAACACAGCAGTCACACCAATACAGACATGTGCGTTGGAGCTTCAATGAGGCGAGTTTTGATTGTTTGCTCTTTCTACATCTATCAGTAAGTCGAATGTGAAGAACAACGTTATTCTTAATGAGGAAATTCCAAAGATATACTCGGTCTTATATTTTCTTGTATGAGTTTCAAGGTAGCAAGTTTCAAGTGCAATTAGGATGAAAAAAAAATATTTACAATGGTAATTAGACTGTCGTTATGCATATACATTTTTGTCGCTGTCAAAATGCGCACTGAATATTAAATGACAGCTTTAACTAAAATCCACTGTCACTACCGTGCGGTTTTTTTATACACACGAATACTCCCAAATGTTGAAGATTTATTCATCAAAATCGAATCACTTATAAGGCCAAATGGAATTGATTTTGATTTTGATTGAAGAACCAACTGAACTTAACATAATTCAAACTAAAATCAGATCAATTAGTGAAATTTCACACAATATTTCCAATAAAAACAGAATGCAGAAGAAGAATGATAAAAACATCTTTCTTGCAATGTGCAGTAACCAAATCGATTTTGCAGATTGGTGTGATTTTGTCATTTTATAAAATGACACTGAGAAAAGCCAAACACTTTTTCATTCATCTTCATATATTTGAAAAATACTGAAGAGGCGGCAATACTTTTCGCTAGTTCCTTCACAATATATTCTTGCATATCGCATTAAATTTAGTCAAAATTGCATTTTTGGTCTGAATGAAAGAATCAATACCGACTAAACGCGATGGAAAATGTATGTTCTAGAAATCATGATGTTTTTTTTGCCCCCTATTTGTTCTTTTTCATTTCGATTATTGGTTTTGCATTGAATTTTACTGTACAAAGTCTATGAATGCGAACAAGTATTTCGTTTCAAAGCACAAACAATAACAAATTTCTTAAAAAAAACCATCATTTTTTTACGAATGAACCATACAGTGATTATGTGTCAGAATCATATAAAATGTATGAAATTGTGATTGAGTGTAAGCTAACAAAAACATGTGACCAAAAATGTGAATTGTGATTTGTGTATCGAATTGCAAATTGTATATTTAAAACAAAAAGAAATAAAAAGTTAGTGGCGTTAGGATTGACTCAAAGGCCAGTTGTCATGAAAAAAATCAACTAAAAAAATAAAGTAAAATCAAATAAGAATTTTTTTTCATAAATAAAACGTACCTTGAGATTGAACAAATGAAATTTCTTTTCTGTTTTATTTGAATATTTTTTATTCACAGCGAGTTATACTTCAAAGTTGTCAAATAATACAATTTCTTGCGGCGTAAAATCAAGTCAAGTGAAACTGAAGTTTAACGCAATGAGTTTTCAATAATTATTATATTTCCTCCCTTCGATATATATGTTCGAAATGGGGTGCGAAAGACGAATAGTCACTTAAATGCAATGTAATAAATCCTCAGAGTGAAAATTATGTCAAAAATTACTCGCACAGACAAACCAACAGCGATCACCGACTAACTCACTGATTTTTAAGATTTCTTTGCTTTGATTCACTTTTACAATGCTGTGCAAATAAATCAAATGCATCACAAGAATAGTGTGTTCATATATCTATAGATAGATATTCAAACGGTGGCAAAGTTGTCCGATTCAAACGCAAATTCACTGCTGTGATACAGATTCTTAAAGTGACGAAGAAACGAATGTTTTTTTCTTCTCTTCTTCTTTTCTCGTTTCTGTTTGTCTGTATGAAACGTATGAAATTCTTGAAGAACCACAAACGACAATAACAAAGCTATAGACGCACACAATTCTCAGCCTAAAAACAAACACTATTGCCTGTTTACAAACTTTGTTATTAAATTCACTTTTCATAAATTACAACAACTTCTTACTTGATTTCGTTTTATGTATTTATCCACAATACTTTCCAATTGCGTCAATCTCTTATCACGCCAAAAGTCAAACTAATAAAATTTAGGTGAATACATTGTACTTTGTGGTCCTTTTTGTGTATTTTATGGTCAATGCTAAATATCGCATTGCATTGAAGTTGACTACTAAACTCTTTGAATACTCAAAGTGCAAAGCATATGCAGGCAATTTTGAACTATCTGAACCATGGTATTTACGTCGAATAAGATGCTTTTTGTGTGCACATGAAAGGTTTTTGACATTTCAAGTGGAACGCCGGGATTTTTATTAAATGTTTTTTTTTGAATGTGTATTTAATTCATTTTGAAATTTAAATTAATTTTAATATCTTTTTCCTTAAACGTAACAATAGAAACCAATAACGAGAACAGATTGATATTAGTTGTAATATAAAAAATACTCAGAGTGTCAAACACTCTGCAGATAAAATATTGATGGTGCCAACATCGTGTCGGTATATAAAATTTCCCCAGAACCAAGCAAAATGAAATATTCGTACCTTGGTTGGAAAGGTGAATTGATATACTGGTACGGTATATATTGAGTCTTTCATCTGTTGTCAAAATACAACAAAAGCAGTTAGTATATCAGTTTTAAAAGCTTGCATTAATAAGCAACAGAGGGCTCTGCATTTTAGCTTGAAGCTTTTTGGTCACAAAATCATCTCGTGAAATATCCGCTGTATGTCGCACTGTATACGAGCTTGTATTCTGCTACATACTAATTTTGATGAAATTTTTCCTTCAACACTTACCGATCATTATAACTGGCTAATCCATATGATGTAACTTTTATTGATTCAGCCACTAAATTATGCGATAGATTTTCAACAATGCTATTCACCATTTTTATTCTAATTATTTAACACTTTGTAGTATTTTATGGAAATCACGAAATTTAGGCTTGATCTAAAAAAACCGAAATTTGACATTGAATGAAAATTCTAAATATGAACCATTCAATAAATTTGATTTGAACTTTTTGAAAGAAGAAATCAATTTAATCCAAATTAAAGTAGATGATTCATTGTGATGAGTATAAGTTAGAGTGAAACATTTTTATATTGATATTTCCAGAAACGTAATTTGTTCTAAAACCGTTTTTTTATATATCTTAGAATTTCAATAGAATTTTTGAATATCACTTTATTCCGATCACATTGAATTTACACTAATCGAATTCAGCTAGAGTTCTCAGTATATTCCAATGAACCGAATCAAGACTATAAATACCAAAACAAGTTGAGAGAAAAAAAAGCTAGTTAGCTCAGTATGAATGAACATAATACTCTATTGTCGAATTATAATCACAGCAAACTATTGTTTAACTTTCAATAGAATTTATTGCAATCGATCTGTACTCATCAAAGTGGCCAAAACTATGAAAAGAACACAGAAATGTAGAACGACCAAAAATGCTTTTTGTCAGATGACACAAAAAGGAACCGAGAAATTTCCGCATTATGACTAGAACTCTGGTATTTTTTTAATGATTATTCTTCATATTGGTTAGTTACAAATAAACAACACTTACACAATCCTCCGTTCGAATGCAAATATAGCATTAGAACTTTGTGTCATTCGCAATTCGTTATATAAAGCTGTATTGATTAAACAATTGCTTGGTTGTTATTGGCATTCACCAGTCTCATATTTGGATTTCAAATATGCATAAAATACGCGGTAAAATGAGATTCTTTTCAAAAATATTTTATTCCAAATCATTTTAGAAAATCATTAGAGTTTGCACTCATCGTTTATGGCATGGGCACATACATAACTTGAAATATTTTTTTCAAAAATCAATCTTGGATAAAAAGAAATTGGTTGTTGAAAAATGTTATATTTCGAATGTTGGAAAATTGATATGGCAAAAAATTTATTTACCTTGAATTCTGCTTCAAATCTAGGGGAATATCACGCTTAAATTTTTTCAAATATTTCAAAAAAATCCAATTTATCTCTGAGAATCTGTCGTATGAAATATGGTGGATATTTGTGAATACGGCGGAATATTTTGGATTTTTGTGATTATGAATGATATTTAAATGTATTTATTTAGATTTAATGCAAAAAATCTCAAATATCTCCAAAATCCACAAAAATCTGATTTATTTATTCGAAATATTCGAAAATATGTCATGCAATTGATGTTTATTTCAAATATCTCAAATATCTCACAAGATTCAGGAGCGTGATATTCCCCTAGCTTCAAAAATATTCAAAAATGTACATTTTTATTGCATTTTTCTTTATTTTCCATTGTTTTTGATTTTCTCTGATGCGATTTTCTCCCAAGTAAAAATGGATATGATTTTTTTTTCTTAAAGAGAATAAAAAAGCAGGTAAAAAGAAATGATAGATATGGAAGCGACTTTCATTAAATATTTTGGCGAGCATTCCTTATGAGTAAGGTTCATTGAATTAAATTGGAGAGAGAAAAAAAAACTAAAACAACTTGTTGGATTTATTTCACAAGCGAAAATTCAAGACAAAAAGATCGGAGATTCTATGGTCTATTTAACATGTTCCAAAAGAGCAGGACCAAAAACAGTTCACTGAATATGCGGCTAGCCACAACGAATTCACCAATAGTGATTCAAAAATGTTTCAATTTCTTGAGCTGCTGCATAAATAATAGATGAACATCACAAATAGATTTTGTTGTTTCTGCATCTGACAACACACAAGCAGGAGTTTGATGTGTACTTGCACTCTGCACTCGCGTGCACTCCTCATTTCCTAGCTGCATACTTTTCACTGTTTTGAATCTGTGTGCATTCAAGATGAAAAATGCTTGCAAAATTGTCTTCAAATGGCCAGATTGGAAAATGTTCCACCAGTAACCAGTAAAAATCGCGAACCATAATTTGAAAACATGCACACATATAAAAAGTAAGAGAAGACAAATACAATAAAAAAACAACAACATCATCATCACAACAACAACAGCAACAGCGTACGTACGTTCCGCTATGCTATTTTCTCGTTTCCCATTTATGAATAAACATACACGTCGAAATGCACACGAAGAAGAGAAAGAAAACGGTTCCAGAAAGAAGTATAGTGGAAACATCGGCATTACGGTAACCAGCAACAACAACATCGCGTCACACACAGAGCACCACATTGAAATCAGTTTATTTTCGAACTCGATGCTGAGCGGTTGTCTATCGGACTCTCTCTTACTTTGTTCAAGCATATTTATCACAGAATATTTCCAGATTAATTTTTTTATATGTAACCAGAATAGAATATTTTTACAATTTTCTATACACATTTTTTTTATGGAAAAAGACAAATACACACTCTCACACATACACACACGCACCGGTTAAGTGTTGTTCATTTGCACGCCGCTTGAGAAACAAGTGTGTATTTCAGCAGTCGAACATATATTTTTCTGACGCGTGTAATCACGTTCATTATTTCGTAGTCGTTGTGTGTGTCATTATATTACACTCTTAGTTTTGTTGTCATCGCTATTTCATTTCGGTTTAATTCTATCAACCGAAATTCTCTCGTTTTTCGTACATACATATTCGAACGATCGTCATTATCAAGTCAAGTTTGTTTTTATGTGTTTGTTTCATCTTCTTCGATACTCTTTTACCGATTCAACTTGGCAGTCCCTATAAATTCGCTCATAACGTTTGGCTTTACATGTGCATGGTGATCATTTCTATTCCAGCTTTCAAACCCATTGGATTTCTGCAGAAGGTACCACCAGAACAGTATATCTGAATTTAAACAATTGAAACAAAATAAAATAAAAGAAAAGTGGTTGCCGCTTCTTTGAAGTTCATTGAAGTAAATAAGTTTACGTGTGTTAAAATCCATCTTTGGTTGTGATCAACTTTCCAATCGGTTTTCGTTCGTACATTCACTCGAAATAATTCAGGTTACAAAGTAGTACAGACGCATACATAGTTTTCAAAGGTATGAAAAATTTAAATCATTTTTTTTAAATAAGTCATTTTTCCCGTTTTCACTTGCCTACGTCATACGAATTGTGAAGTGTAGCCGCTCAAAGATCATGTGTAAACGTGTCAAAACATCAACATCGATCTTAGACATTTAAAGTTGTTCATGCAATCAAAATGACTCGTTCATAGCTGTGGTTGAATTATGCATGTATTGACTTTAGACCGCGTCTAAATTGTTGCTATACTTGGTTCTCTGGTGTGAATGACAAACACACCATGGCTATAAACCATATTTTTGATGTCATTTATATTCGCTGATATCATTCCATTCAAAATGTAGAAGAAAGAAATAAAGAAGAAAAAGAATGACTCTATTTTGAAACAACGTAGCGCATTCGTTTCGTAAAATATATTGATACAAGTTTCGCAAAATGCTTACAACAAAGTGGGTTGAACAGCCTACAAAAGAAAGTCGCAATGCGTAATCTATGCTCTCATTGAACAATGGTTATTTTCATTGTTTCTTGACGGAATGGAGGAATCAAATGATCAAACCTGTGTGTTCACACAAAATAAAGCGGCCGAATTGGGATCAAACAAAAGAGAAAACGAATTGAATGGAATAATATTGTTTTCTATAAATAGTTGTCGGTAATTAAATTTGGCGTATCAATTTAATTGTTTTTTTTTTAAATAACAAATTCAATGTTTATTTAATAGCAACAAACAAAATCGCAGAATGTAGTCGTTATGATTAAGATAGATGAATTCTCATGCAGATGAGATTGGAACACGTTGATCTTGTGACTTACGTATCAAATAAATTTGGTGTCGATGAATTTATGATTAATATTTTCATGGAAATCATTGAAAACTTAGCCGGATGAGAATTCATCTCTAACATATACCTATCTAAATATAATAGACGACAGCAATAATTCATCTGGAATTCGGTTTGGACGTGGACTCTATTTTTTGTACACTCATCACTTCGCTTACAATATTTCTTCGAACGAAGAAAAAACAATAATTTCTTATACTTTCTCTTAGTAATCCTCTCACACTTGCGCAAATTAAAAAAAAAGTATTTGATTAAATGCAAGGGGGCATTGCAGACATACGGCGGCAAAATACACGTACTATTTGCTTACATTTATATTGCGCATACAGTGGGACTTGCCAGTGCAAAAGTATGATAATTTACAGGTTCGCAGACGAGTATCACAAGTGATGACGAAGCGATAAACAAATGTTCAACGTGGGCACAATCGCACCGAAATTTCTTGCTAAACCGTTTATTTAAAAACGGTGCATTTTAAATATGGTGCTAAAATTTTGCGGATATGAAATTGAGGCCAGCCAATCGAAATGAAAGTCTGAATCGAACATTTTTTTTTGTTCAAGCTCCAAAAAATTGCACTCACAATTTTGATACAAAGTGTTTCTTCTTCCACGAAATTTCCGTTTGGGACGAAGCAATCACCAACATGGGAATCCATTTTTGAAGAAATCAGTAGAAAAATGTAATGTTTTTTCTTTCGAAAACTGATTTGGTTTGCACTGTAATACGATACAGTATGCTATATTTTACTTTGAGAAGAGTAGTCTCCTATTCACAACGAATGTTAATTAGTTCCGAGTTGATGAAAAAATTCACACTTTTGCCTTATTTTAATGCGACATTCACTCAATAGCGTATACTAAAACCGTTAATTGAAAATCAAAATGATGAAGTAGTTTCATATTTAAGAAGAAAAAGAAGAAGGAGGAAGAAAAAATATAACGAACCAAAAACGCTAAATAAATCAAAAAGTCATGCTTGGTGAAAATGCAGATAATGGAGCTAAATGTGTGTTTTAATTTTAGAAAATTGTTTTTTTTTCGTTATCATTTCAATTCGAAAGATCGAAGAGTGCACTTATCTCACTGTATGAGATCAACATTAGCATTCAGAATATTTACAAAATTCGTATCGCGTTTTTTTCCTTCTTGTTTTTGGTTTGACTTTGACTGAAATAAATAAATGTTCCTTCTTTATAAATTAGATGATTAAATCAGTTATTATACTGTCGTGCCTTGTCGCAATCATCAGCTGTGAAGCAGAGCTGAAGGTAGAAAAGTTATTTGTACCCGAGATATGTGCAAATAAATCGAAAAATGGTGATATGCTAACAATGCATTACACGGGCACGCTGACTGATGGCAACAAATTTGACTCAAGGTAAGACTTCTTTTCTACTTAGTTTCATTCAATTAGATTTCCATTGTTTTTGACTTGGCGAACATACTACATTTACTCTCTGATTTTGGGGCAAGCAGAAAAAAATAACTACGTAAAATATGCACTGACCAATAAAATCGATAACCGAATAATGGTTGAAAACAAGAAAATAAAAGAAAAAATGTGTTGTAAAATTAGTGGCAAAACAACGTTAGTGGCAACCCATGCAAAACTAATATGATGTTTGCATCATTTAATTTTTTTGTTTTTGAAAAATTGTTTCACCATGATTCAAACTCAATCATTCATTTATGAGGAAAAAATTCATGAATGCAAATAACTGACAATCTAGTGTTGACATCATCAAGGTATGGTTTCAGTTCCTCTGAAGAAACAATGTGTTCAATGTACTTTCTGTGCACTGCAACGTCATCATGCCATAAACAACAACAAAAAATTCCATTCCGATGGAGAATTTCCTAGGCTCCTTTCGTTTTCATTTAATCGGATTTTTCGAATTATTGTTCAATAAACGCCATTGTAGTCGCAAACTTGTGTTGGTATTTGGAAACAAATGCAGGAAAAAGCATCAAGTTATTTTATTATCGGTGACTATAATCAGCTACTAAATTAGAAAAGGTGTGATGATTTCCTGGAATAAAATCGAGTTTCGATTTTAGTCGATTTCGAATTCGAAAGCATTCACCCAGTATAATCTGTTATGGTTGGAACAATTTGTGTAGTATCGATGTGTCATACAAATGACCATTGCACCCAAAACACCGCTACCACTGTACTAATTTAGCACAAACTCTGAATGGAAAACCATTCAATTAATTTCAGTTATTAATTTCAGTGTTGATGTACTGTATGAGCTTGCTAAAAATCAGTTGTGCATAAGGAAATATGGATTGCATTGAATGCGACGCATATTCATAGTTCACTGTTTACTGTAACTTTCTTTATTTTCCAAGGGGGCAAACAACAATGGAACATTAAGAAAAAAATGCAAATTAAAGAAATGCCCCGAAAATTCTAATGCAAACTATGAACAGATTTAATTGCGGATATTTAGTTTCACTAGTCACAACTTTCACCTGGTTCCCAGTTTGATTTCAATGTTGATGGGTGTCGCAGTAAAAAAAAACACCCATGCTAGAAGTTGATATTGATGAATTGATGGCAGCGATACAGAAACATGTACAGCACCTTGTTGCAGACCATATTGCGCGAAGCATTGATGTCACGATTGTATACAATGGGTGTTTTGCATGGCTTACGTGATGGTGGTGTTCTTCGCTTGTTATTTACGCATTCCGATTCGTATAGTATATTGCTACGGGGATGCTCTATTGAAAATCAACAACAAAAAAACGTCAATGTAGAAAAAGTTCACTCTATGTAAAACGGGTTTTTGTTTATACTGAATCAGTTTAGTGGCCCAAAGCCGAACATTGTCATCGGATTTGTTGGGTGCTGGCAACATGGTTTTTTTTCCCTTCACCATCAACAATGTAATGAAAATATTACCATGGAACCGCATTGCGTATGGCATATCATTGAACATTATGATGAATAAACAGATTCGATGCCATTCACACACATACATGCACTGATGTTGATTCTCTCGATGATAAAATTTTCGCAAAACATTGAATAATGAGTGAAAAATCGACATTTTACTATATGCTCACCGAATATTGGCACTAATGATGAGGAATTTTAATTGATATAATGTTACTGTGTGAAACACATTTATATGTATGGGTTCACGTTTGTTTTTGGGGAACAAAGTAGTATCTGCTATTTCTAACTTTCTATTCAACGATTTTTTACGAATTCCAAAAAGAAGTTTCGACAAGCTTTCGATGTGTTGCCACCATTCCGATTGACATCATATTTGCATAAACGTATTGCAGAAAAGAGAGAAAATAAATAGTTCATATGGCTTACAATAAATTTTAACGCAGAGATTAAAAGAATCCACAGAGGGTTTTTGTGCACGATTCTATTTCGATTTTTATTATTTATATTGTGATTGTATAACATGCTAAGTCATTCAATTGAAGCTGACCTTTAGCGGGAACACTAGATGTTTAAACATTTAAGAATATTTTAAAACGTTCAGACTACCATAAAATGGTGGATTTACTATCTCCAAGCTTGTGAAGTATTGAAAGAACACAACAGCCATACATTCAAACTGTATTCAACGCACAGACGAAAAATATTTGTCTTAGGCTTTCCATTCATTTTTCGCTTGCTTTCCGCGTACTGGGTGTAGTTTATTCTCGAGGGAATAAAGTCTGGAAGCGTGAAACACGTTGCGCTACCAAACCGCGAAAAATTCAGCGAACAAATGATGGTGGTTGAAATGAAGAAACAGAAGAAGAAAAAAATAAATAAAACGGCTTCACACTAGATTCAGAATCGTGACACTCTGGAAAGACGTCGTGAATTCGTTTCTAATCTCCATCACTCAAGCGATAATATATGTAATTGTGAAAACACATCGCATCACGCATTCGGCGACGTACCAAACTGAACGTAGCTACGTAGATAATTCAAATATTCAGAACAGAGATTACTATGAGATATTTTTATTCATATGGGATAGAAATATCGCATAAAAATATCAGATTTTTTTCATGCGTTGCGTTGTTGTAACGCATCTGCAGTACAAAATTCATATTCCGTTCTGCGTGCCAAGTCAATTTTGCTGAATTCGGCTCGGATCAGTCTCAAATTCGATATATGTCTGATATTTTTATGCTATATTTCTATCCCATATGAATAAAAATATCTCATAGTTATCTCTGATTCAGAATAGCTGATAGACACTCTGTAAACGATGTAAATGGAACCAACATCCGTTGCACAGAAATGTGAGTGGAATCATGAAGCACGAAGTCTATTTAAACGCATGATCTATTGGAATTCCCAATAGAGCGAGAGAAACCTAATTAAATTCAAACAAATTAACAGGTGTTGTACTTCAATTTCGTTTTTCTTTCGGTTTTTTTTTATCATTTTGAAGACGTAAACGAAACAATCATCACACTTTTGGACTGGATAAACGAAAACGGAATCACAATTAATTTGTCACACAAATTCTCTCAGACTTTCGTCGGTAGTGCATGTGAACGTGCCTTTCGTGAACAATAGCTTCTCCTGATATAGTGAATGATTCACATCCTTTTCGTCGCACTCTTTTCAGAATTATCTAATATATTCATTGTTGATAACTCCCACTAATTGTTGACAATCAATTTTTGTTCAAAACCGAATATCTACACCAAGTTCCCTATTATTCAAAGGTTTTTCCAATTAACAAACAAATTAAATTAACACTATTCATTTCGTATTCCAAATGGAAAACCCAAACATTTTGTTTGTGACAGAATAGCGCACGTATGTTATGTGTGCTAAGAGAGAGATTTGCTTATATTGAAGAATTATGTTAAGTTTAGGGAAAAAGCAGTTTTGATGCAACATCATCGATACTCATACGCAGATTTTATTGTTGTATTGACAACAACAAATCCGCAAATAATAAACGATGAAATTATCCAACGAAAAAGGCAAACAAAATACCGTTCGAATGAAAGTTGCCTGCGTGTCAGTTTATTTTAAAGAAAATCACAAACAAAAGTATTAGGATGTCTATTAAAATTGCCTTGTAAAATAGAAAGTCACTTGTTAATCGACTAAGAAAATTTTCTGTGCTCTATATAATTCGGGTATTAATAAAACGGATGGCTTGGTCAAAGATTGTTGTATTCATTCGTATGCACTGTTAGTATAAACTCGTGGCACAATGAATCTGTGTATAAGACAATGCATAGTCACGTGTACGGTGCACGTGATATTTATGTAATTAATTTTCTCTATATTGGAAATTTTATCCCGCAAATTTTGTCAAGCGAAAAATTCAATATCTCTTCTGCTCATTGAATACATTCATTCAATGAAATGCTACTCTCAGAATTCAAAGGAGGCAAATAAAAAAACATATAGTGTAAAACATCAAATTACCCACTGTTTTTTGCCA